GCCATCCTTTTCTCTCCCCAACCTCTGTTCATTTACATCCCCTCCTCCAGCTCTATATTAAGGCTGCCATGCATGCAAAATACTCCAAAAGCAATCTGAATGTGCTTGATTGCACCCAGGTTCTTCTTTTGTGTAACGATTTAACAAGTCAAACATGTGCTCCTGAACGATAGTAAGAATCCCAATGACCCAAATCTTGCAGAACCATAAAATTATAGAGTTGGAAGGCAGCTTAAACCCCCTCCCCAGGACAGATGGCCAGCTGACCTCTAATGATTTCATTTTACTTTTGGCAGTGTTCTATCAGTGCACACAACCTCATATGTGTGTTGGCAAAACACTACACCAAAAAATGTGTGATGCAATCATGTGCTATGATCACTTCAATACAGTCGTACCTTGGAAGTCGAACGGAATCCATTCCGGAAGTCCGTTCGACTTCCAAAATGTTTGGAAACCAAAGCATGGCTTCCGATTGGCTGCTGGAAGCTCCCAGTTCCAGATTTATGTATAAGCTAAACAAGCCATAGCTTAGGGCCCCACTCTCTTGGGGGCCCCAAAACCTGGATGTACATTTCCAGAATATAAGATAAAAAACAAATAAAATAAAACTTACATACAGCAACAGTGTTTTGTGTTGTGTCGGCTTCTATGATGTAACTCATGGCCCCCGCCTGCTAGCCTGCTCCCTAAAATATTACTGGTTTGCTCATTTCTATATATGGGGTACCTACATTCTGCATGGACTGGTTGCATGGCAAGAAGTACAAATGGCTTTAGGTACCTATTAGGTCCATAAATTACCATATAGCATATATTCAGCAAAAAAACAGCGACAATCTGTTGTTGACAAAGGACAGCTGGACATAGACAGGGCTCCATTATCTTCAGTAGCTTAGGGCCTCATCAAACCTAAATCCGGCCCTGGAAGCTCCTGCAGCCAATTGGAAGTTGCGGAAGTCGTGCCAGGACGTTCGGTTCCAAAGAAAGTCCGCAAACCAGAAAACGGCGTTTGCGAGCCAAAATGTCTGAGTACCAAAGCGTTTGGGATCCAAGGTAGGACTGTATAGGTTTTCGTGTGCACACTTTATTCCTGGATACATGGACCATGACGATGCACTGAAGGAACTGAAAGCTGTGATAAGCTGAGCAGGTGCTGCCCTCTGTGTCGAATTTGGAAATTCAAGCAAAGGTGAGTTCTGAGGTTGCGCCCGTTGCTAGTCTGAACAAAAGCCGACCCTCTGAAACAAATGCATGTGACTAACTTAAGTCTATTAATTTCAATGGACTTTCTCTGAGTAGAACTTGGTTGGAGCCAAGCCATGGTGTTTACTATTTTGTAAAAAAAACACTTCTAAGAATGTGTGTTCTCACAGAAGCCAACCAGATGGCTGTGGGAAACCTGCAAGCCGGATTTGATCACAAGAATAACTACCGTATTTTTTGCTACATAAGACTCACCTGACCATAAGGCATGCCTAGTTTTTAGCAGGGGAAAGAAAAGAAAAAAATTCTGCTCAGAGCATGTAAGCGGCTCTCGCTTTTCTTGCTTTAAACCCTTCCGTCCCTCCTCCCGCTTCACTGAGAAGCCAGCAGAGCAAGCTACGCAGCTCTCGCCGAAGCCAGCAGAGCAAGAATGGTAGCTGCACAGTGCCACTTCTGCTGGCTTCCCAGCAAAGTGGGATGGGAGACGAAAGGGAGCCCTTACAAGGGAGCGCTGAGCAGAGCCTGGCAGCGGCTCTTGCTGACTTTTCTGGGAGGTGTGGGAAGGGACAGAGAGCAGCCCGTCAGCCCCTTCTCCCACCTTGCGGAAAAGCCCCCAAGAGGCGCACACATGCTCCACGCGGCTCTTTAAAGGGAGCGCTGAGCAGAGCCTGTATGCATCCCAGATGCGAATGCAGGCGGGAGGCTCTGCTCAGCGTTCCCTTTAAAGAGCCGTGTCTAGCATGTATGCGGCTCTTGGGGGCTTTTCCGCGAGGTGGGAGAAGGGACTGACAGGCTGCCCTTCTTCCTCCTTGGGGAAAAGGCCCCAAGAGCCGCACACACGCTCCACGCGGCTCGTGAAAGGGAGTGCTGAGCAGAGCCTCCCGCCTGCATTCGCTCCATAAGACGCACACACATTTCCCCTTACTTTTTAGGAGGGAAAAAGTGCATCTTGTGGAGTGAAAAATACGGTATTTCCTGCTGCAGTTTCCAGCAGCTGTGGAGGCAGATAATAGCCATCCTGGCTAGTAGCCATCATTAGCTCTCTTCTACATGAATTGGTCTAATCCTCTTCTAAAGCCATCCAGGTTGGTTCCATAGTTGTGTGAAGAAATGCTTTCATTTTAATTCATCCTGAATCTGCCAACATTCAACTTCATTGATGTCCGTGAGTTCTATTGTTAAGCGAGGGGGAGGAAAATGTTTCCTCTGTCCACTTCCTCCATGCCGTGCCATGGAGAAAGGGCATTACTTGAAAGAAGAAGCAAGGGAGTAGAAACCAGAAGGGCAAAACCAGAAGCACACGTTGGTTCGACTTCAGGAAGAAGAGTAGATCATTTCGAAATCCAAAATCTGCAGAGAAATTTGTAGGGAAACACCGGGAGCCTCCCTAGGCAACCCTTCACCCAAGCAAGCTTGTAATATGAGTCCTCCAGCCAAGTAGCGAGGGGGAATTTCTAAACTCTGTTTCTTGCCACATGGGAGCAGGATAGAAGCAAGCCCATTCAGACAACCAAGCTACAATGACCAGCTTGTCGAGTGGTTATAGGCAACAGAGGGTTAGTGGAGATAGCTGAATGCTCCCCGCCCCAAGCACCTCTCTCATCCCCCATCCACCTTCACCACCCACACTTTCAATGAATGGCAAGAAGGGTAGTAGCAATGGAGAGGAAGGTTATATACTTTCCCCTTCTCTCTCTCCTTTGTCCTGATGAGGGCTTTGCCTGTGTCAGAATTTGCCCTCTGATTCTTTGAAAGTCCACCCCTTCTGTACAAGAGGCCTCATTTTCTCTCTCTTATTTTCAGAGTACTTCTGAGTGTCTGTGAATGTGGGGTTTTGCACCTACTGTACCATTGTGAGAGGACGAAGGGTGGTGTGTATTTCTTCCTTCCTTCCCTGTCAACATTTCTCCAGGACCTTGCAGCCTCCCTGGGTGCCCACACATTTCTCCATCTGAGAAATGTCCCACTGAAGGAGCTGCCTTATGACGTTTTCCCCTGGGCTTTAAGATGAAGTGTGGACACCCTGGAGGGCTGCAGAGAGCGGAAAGCTGGTGAGATGATTTGTAGAATGAAAGAAAAGAAACTCACAGACACCCCTCGGCTGCGGAGGAGAGGGCTATTGATGGCTACTAGCCATGCCCTGCCTCTACTGTGGAGGCAGCAACAGCTGAGGAAGCTGCTGGGACACCCTGAATGGCAAACATGAGGAAACCTCTAGGAAGTGAGAGTGCTCCTGTGCTTGAATCCCACTTATGAGTGCCCCACAGACATCTGGATGGCCATGTGAACAGGATAGACCATTGTTCTGATTTTATGGAGTGAGGTGTCTGTGGGTAGTGTATGGGGGTGTTTCCCCCCTTCTTTGTTAAACATTTACCTGGCACTCTGAAGTCTCATCAGCTAGCTGCACTTCCTGATAGGGAAACAAAGCCATGACAGGAATTCTTTATTTTAGAGTAGGGTATAAATTTCATTGGACGCGGGTGGCGCTGTGGGTTAAACCACAAAGCCTAGGACTTGCCGATCAGAAGGTTGGCGGTTCGAATCCCCGCGATGGGGTGAGCTCCCGTTGCTCAGTCCCTGCTCCTGCCAACCTAGCAGTTCGAAACCACGTCAAAGTGCATGTAGATAAATAGGTACCGCTCCAGTGGGAAGGTAAACGGCGTTTCCGTGCACTGCTCTGGTTCGCCAGAAGCGGCTTAGTCATGCTGGCCACATGACCCGGAAGCTGTACACCAGCTCCCTCGGCCAATAAAGCGAGATGAGCTCCGCAACCCCAGAGTTGGTCACGACTGGACCTAATGGTCAGGGGTCCCTTCACCTTTATAAATTCCATAAGAACTTTAAGAAGAGTCTGCTGGGTCAGGCCAATGACCCATCCAGTCCAGCATTCTGTCCTCACTGTTGCCAGCAAGATCTAAGCATGAGAGCAACTCTTCCCTCCTGTGGCTTCCAGGAACTGGTATTCAGAAGCATCAGAAAGGTAAAAGGTAAAGGACCCTTGGACAGTTAAGTCCAGTCAAAGGCGACTATGGGGTGTGGCGCTCATCTCACTTTCAGGCCAAGGGAGCCGGCATTTTTCCACAGACAGCTTTCCAGGTCATGTGGCCAGCAGCACTAAACCTCTTCTGGTGCAACGGGACACCGTGACGGAAACCAGAGCACACAGAAATGTCGTTTACCTTCCTTCAACAGTGGTACCTATTTATCTACTTGCACTGGTGTGCTTTCAAACTGCTAGGTTGGCAGGAGCTGGGACAGAGCAACGGGAGCTCACTCTGTCATGGGGATTCGAACTGCCGACCTTCTGATTGGCAAGCCCAAGAGGCTCAGTGGTTTAGACCACAGCGCCATCCGTGTCCCAGAAGCATCATTGCCATCCTGACTAGTAGCCATTGATAGCCTTCTCCTCCATGAATTTCTCTAATCCTTTTACAAAGCCATCTAGATGGTTGGACCTCACTGCCTCATGTGGGAGTGAGTTCCATAGTTTACCTACATACTGTGTAAATGAATACTTTTTTTCCCTGCCTGAATCTACAGCCTGCATATTTTGGGTTGTTGTTGTTGTTTTGCCCCAATGGAACAGCACCATTCAGACATGGACGTTCCTCTTATTGAGACGCTATCAGCAAAAAGCACACAGAAAGTAACAGACAAAGCCGGCATGCAGCGGACGAGAAACACAGCCGCTACCCTCAGCGGCGGCTACAGCTATGACCACGTCTTAGCAAACATGCATCAAACACACACACACACAGAGAGATATTGCCACAGGATCGCGTACAACTTACAAGGTAATGGTGGACAGTTCTGACATCCTGCAAGCGTGTTGATTAGCCCTGCTGGACTTACAGTAGCATTTCTGAACGCAGCTGCTGAATGTGACAAGATCAGCAAACAAAGAAAATAAAGAATAAAAAAGGAAAATAGATTTCTCTCTCTTTTCTTTTCAGCTTATCACAACAAGGCCCAAGAGGCATGTCAAACCCCAGAACACATTTTGGATAGGTTAAGATGTCAAAAAAGGGAAGAAGCGTCATGGCAGGCACATGGAGACGGAAGGTTTTTTGGGTTTTTTGCAAGGATACTGGATTGATGCAGGAGGACAGATAGGAGAAGGGGCTTTTTTTTTGCATTCAGCCACGGAACCAGCAGAAGCTTGCAAAGAAGCTGATGGTGAAGCCAATCGATAAATGATGGCAAATTAACTGAACAAAACACATCTTAGATGCAGTGTATGATTTTGATGGGTTCAGCTACAAAGCTAGCAAAAGGAGTCCCCTTGCAAATTGAAAATATGCTATAAGGAGATCCGCTCAGCTGTTTAGATTTTCAGAATATTCACTTGGCAGATTCAAATGACAGAGGAGCAGAGGAACAATGAACACAAATGCTTAAAATATTCGCGGCAGAAAATCTCTTTGAGGTTTCGCCCAAGGGAGCCGTTTTAGATTTTTTTGGACGTTCTCATCAAGATTTAAAGTCCTGCTGTTGATTATGTGGAACTAAGAAAATACATTAGATGAAAGAGATCCTTTGGAAGTCCGAGGCAAGTTCCACAGAAGAGGCACGAACACATCAGCTGCTAACGATTTGATTGCTATTTCCCCCCCTGTCGTTCTCAGTGCGGAAGAGCCAAGCCTTTTTTTAAACCAAAGTCATCAACAGAGATAATAACTTTAGCAATGTTAAAGCCATCTAAATTGGTCGCAATCTCTGCCTCCTGTGGCAGGCGGTTCCACAGTCTGTGTGCTTCATGAACAAGTCCTTTCTTTAATTTGTTCCAAATCTTTCAACATTTCAGCTTCACTGGATTTCCATGAGTGTTAGGATAGAGGGCAAATCCTCCCACCTGATATATTTTTTCCATACCATGTCCTTGAAACTTTGAAATCTTTCAAACTGTTAGATCTTCAAAAGGTCAAAACCCCTGTTTTGTCCAGTGCAGTCACAGGACTGCTGAAGATGTTGTGCAGCCCTGGTTTATATATATTCAGTGAGTCATAATGTTAAATACATACAGCACGTTTGGTTTATACAGTGGTACCTTGGTTCTCAAATGCCTTGGTTCCCAAACACTGAAAACCTGGAAGTAAGTGTTCTGGTTTTTGAATGTTTTTTGGAAGCCAAACATCTGACGCGGCTGTCAGCTATTGTTTCTGGGGCTCCTGCACCAATCAGAAGCCGTGCCTTGGTTTCTGAACATTTCGGAAGTCAAACGGACTTCTGGAATGGATTAAGTTTGAGAACCAAGGTACCACTGTATTTGGCACTTTTGTTTTTGCCATTTATTTTGTGTGAGGTTTTTTTTTTTTAGGCTTTTTTGGTTAATTTGTTTTTGTGACTGTGTGGAACCCAGTTCAGCTAATTGATTGTGTGACTGCAGAAATGGATAAAAGCCCCCCATCCAAACAACGACTATCATTAGTGCAAGTAAGGGGAAAAAATAATTTAAATATTTATAATCTACAATACTGTCTTATTTATTTTATAGTACAGTACATTGCTTATTGCTTTCATTCTATGCATCAATGGTCTTGTCAGATAGCAAAATTCATGTTAAGTTGCTGTTTTAGGGTTTTTTAAAAGTCTGGAACGGATTAATCCGTTTTGCATTACTTTCTATGGGAAAGTGCGCCTTGGTTTTGGAACGCTTTGGTTTTGGAACGGACTTCGGGAACAGATTAAGTTTGAGAACCAAGATACCACTATGCATTATTTGTTGCATATGTTTTCTTCATTGGGTTGGCTAACTAGGGCAACCTATGGATGAGAGGTCTACTTCTCCAGATTAGATTGAACCTGTCTACTCTTGGAGAATGGAGTTCACACACACACACAGCCATTGATAATGTATTATTCTTGGTATTTCTCTACATTTCTGCAACATACTCCCATTACACCTGTGGGGGGTCTGCGATATGCGACCACCGGAGAGATGCTCTCAGAGGTCCATCTTGTATGTTTCTGTATCCCACAATGCAAACCTGGAAATGGAATGCGGGTTCTAGTTCTGAACACCTGAGACTACAAGTCTATGCCCACTCTCCTGGGAGCAAACAACACTGGCCTCAATAGGACTTCATTCTTTGAAGACAGGTAAAGAATCGCACAACAGGGACTCTTGCTTTCACGTTCCTCCTTTTTAATAATGGGGAGCGGGAAAGGGAGAAATGGGTTTCTAGCTGTCACTGTCAGCGGCAAAGTTGAGAGCAACTGCCGCCACTGTTGCAATTTCTGTGGAAGCAACAGGTGAAGATTGGGAAGCAGATACTTTATCTTTCCCTTTTGCAAAAAAGCTACATCGGATAAGTCAACGGGGAATTCGCAGGTCATTTTAATGGATAAAAAAAGCCTTGGTGGATATAAGCAACACATTTCAACAGATTTTCCCCCAAATGAATGTTGGCAAAGGATTCTGTTCCTAAGTGTTCGTTCTCCCAGTTCTCAAAATCACCCAATCCTGTTTCTCTGAATCCAAGCATATAAAAATGGAATAGAAGCGCTAAACCTGAACCACAACCAAACAGCGACATGAGAACATCAGGCTTGGGAAGATCACAAGCAGGCTCTGATGGAGGTCCAGCGCCGAGGGCCTTCTGGCGGTTCCCTCATTGCGAGAAGCAAAGCTACAGGGAACCAGGCAGAGGGCCTTTTTGGTAGTGGCGCCCGCCCTGTGGAACGCCCTCCCATCAGATGTCAAAGCGATAAACAACTACCTGACATTCAGAAGACATCTTAAGGCAGCCCTGTTCAGGGAAGTTTTTAATGTGTGATATTTTAGTGTATTTTTGGTTTCTATGGAAGCCGCCCAGAGTGGCTGGGGAAACCCAGCCAGATGGGCGGGGTACAAATAATAAATTATTATTATTATTATTATTATTATTATTATTATTATTATTATTATTATTATTATCATCATCATCTCTAACATCTGGAACTGGAGGTCTAGCACCTGTGGAGGTAGAGGCTGTAGTCTTAGCTATGGTTGCTAAAAGCTATTAGGAGGTCTATCCTCTAGATCAGGGATGGGAACATCTGGCCTTCCAGATGTTGGTGGATTCCAGTTCCCATCAACATGAGTGGTAGTGGTCAGGGATGAAGGGGATGGAGTCCAGCAATATCTGGAGGGCTGGAGGTTCCCCAGCTCTGCTCTACATAAGGGATGACTACCTTGTAAACCCACAATCTGGCCCTCCTAAGCAATTCTATTTGGTTCCTTGTAGCTCTATCAAGTAGTTTATGAAGGTATGGCAAACATTTGCACAAAATCGCACTCATAAACAGGGCTGGATTAAACCTCCTGAAGCCCTGACTTCGGATGGGGAACCTCTGGCTTGTGGGCCAATCTTGGCTGAATGGGACGCTGGTCTAATCTGGCCCATGGAGTCATTTTCCCACCATCACTGATTATGTTAGCTGGTGGGCAGGAGGACAGGGCTTAATCCTGCACAGAAGAGAATGGGCTCTGCCTGGTTCTCTGTAACCTTACTTCTCGCAGGGAGGGAACCACCAGAAGGCCCTCGGAGTGTCCAGGCTGAACGATGGGGTGGAGATGCTCCTTCAGGTATACTGGACCGAGGCCATTGAGGGCTTTAAAGGTCAACACCGACACTTTGAATTGTGCTCGGAAACATACTGGGAGCCAATGTAGGCCTTTCAGGACCGGTGTTATATGGTCTCAGCAGGCACTCCCAGTCACCAGTCTAGCTGCTGCATTCTGGATTAGTTGTAGTTTCCGGGTCACCTTCAAAGGTAGCCCCACGCAGTAGTCCAAGCAGGAGATAACCAGAGCATGCACCACTTTTAAGGCTTGCTGGATTCTGGGAGATGGTGGGTCTGGAATGCTTTCTAATGACAATACATCAGCCAGCTGCTGCTCTGCCTCTGCCTCCTCTTCCATTGTTACTTTCCCCCTCATCTTCCTCTGAGTTGTGACCTCCCTCAAACCCCTGTTGTAATTCTGAACTCTCTTTTTCTCCTTCTCTGGAAGGGTCAGGCTGGGGAGGCAGTCTCCATCATTTCTCCTCTGCCCAGTCCCTGACAGGAACCCTTACGAACCCGGGGGACTTGCAAAGCTGTGTGAGTGATTTTGGCAGGTTGGCAGCCTCACACGCCTGTCAAGTTTGGCCCCAAAGGCGAATCCTGATAAGCTTCTGGCCCATGCAGCCAAGAGGGTTCTTTATCCCTGCCCTAAACCTTGTCACGTTTAAGAGGCATTACAGGACAACAATAAGAAGAAGTGCAGTATTCTTACAGAAAAAAAATACAGAACAGAAAATAGAAATAATAGAAACAATAGTTGTTCATGTATCAATAAGTAGGTCACGGAGCAACTGAAAAGTAACAATTCATAGAATCATAGGCTTCTAAAGTTGGAATGGGCCCCAACGGTCATGAAGTCTGTTATGTACTATGCTTGGATGCTAGAACAATAGGCAGCTAGGATCCTAAAATGCAACAACCTGATTGTCCTGCAGGAGCAGCCCAATCAGACCCTAGGAGGAAGTTAATCAGCCTATTAGGCCACTAGGATGCTAGGATGCAACAACTGACTGGCCTGCAGCAGCAGCCCAATCAGGCTCCAGGAGGGAAACATAATCAACCAATCAGACGGTACTCATTGTGTAAATAATGTATATAAAGCCTGAGGTTCGGGGGGGAATTCAATGACTGTTCCTATGAGCTGAAATAAAGAGCATGAAATTACTGCTCGACTCTGAGTATATTTCAAAGTCCCTGTAATGCATTCAACTAAAGCATAGGTCTTGCAATAAGCCTAGCTGCGTACAAAATACCTTTCAATGAAAATGCCTTCTGACTTCTTATTAAGCATTCCTGAAACCGTTTTGATGTACAGCAACAGACAAACAGCTCCGTGGTTTAGCAGTTTCTAAACGGAAGGGGCAAGGCAACTGCGTACCCTGTGTGCTTTCTGCCCCTAACATAAAATGTAAAACACCTTCTTTCATGATTTTTTAAAAGGATCGTGTTTGTTTGTTCTTAAGAGGCCTCTTATAAGCTGAGGCTCCATGTTGTAGCTTAAATCTGGTGCTACTCAGGAGGAAAAGGAGATGAACTCAAATCCCTCCGGAGATATTTCACTCCGTGTTTGTTGGAGTGTATGTAAATATTATCCTCGCACAGCAAGTCAGTTCCAAACACAAACTCAAGCACCCCTCTCTATCCTCTGCCTAGACTAACCTGAGATACTATCAGAATTGAAGGGCATATTCTAGCCAGGCAAAAGCACTCAGGGATGCAAAAAAGGGCCAGTGTGTGTGTGTGGCCTGAGAAGGTGTAGACCAGACAGAGAAAGCAGCCTAGAAAGACACACCCATTTCTCAGGTTCCCCACACTGGTTTGGGCTTTAAATCCAAATTTAGATTTGGGCCCAGAGTAGGGTTGTCATACGTCTGGGAATTCCCAGAAATGTCTTCTTCCCAGTGCCAGATTTACATATAAGCTAAACAGGCTATAGCTTAGGGGCCCCACTCTCTTGGAGGCCCCCCAAAAAATTAAAGGGGAAAAAACCTGGATGTACATTTCCAAAATATAAGCTAAAAAACGAATAAAATAAAACCTACATACAGCAACAGTGTTTTGTGTTGTGTAGGCTCCTAGGATGTAAGTCATGGGCCCCGCCTGCTAACCTGCTCCCTAAAATACCACTGCTTTGCTCATTTCTATATCAATTACTTTGATAAAATACACATTTTGTTATGTGGAAATGGCTTGAGATACTTATGAGGTCCATAAATTACCGTGTGGCATATATTCAACACACAAAAAACAAACCAGTGACAATTTGTTGTTGACAAAGGACAGCTGGACATATAAAGGGCCCCATTACCTTCAGTAGTTTAGGGCCTCATCAAACCTAAATCCTGCCCCTGCTGTGTTCTACATGACCATCTTCTGAGGGGGAGCATTTTACATTATAAAGCAAATGTCCTTGATTTTGGATTTTTTTAAAAAAATAAAGTGTGTGGCCAGCTCTGGTTCTGGCACAGGCTCCCTGGACTCGGGTGTGGGTGGCTCAGGCTTGATAGCAGCGGAGGGGGGCTATCGGGCGATCGCCCTCAAAAACCTCAACAACTTTTTGTGTCCAGATTTCTACCTCTTGAAATATGGCAACCCTAAGGAAATCAGCCCTGGAAGGACAGATCCTGAAGCTGAGGCTCCAATACTTTGGCCACCTCATGAGAAGAGAAGACTCCCTGGAAAAGACCCTGATGCTGGGATAGATGGAGGGCACAAGGAGAAGGGGACGACAGAGGACGAGATGGTTGGACAGCGTTCTCGAAGCTACCAGCATGAGTTTGACCAAAGTGCTGGAGGCAGTGGAAGACAGGAGTGCCTGGCGTGCTTTGGTCCATGGGGTCACCAAGAGTCGGACACGACTAAACGACTAAACAACAACAGCCCAGAGGCAACCTGGCAATCAGCGCAACTGCCGCAACAAAGGTGTTGCATCTTTTAACAGCCTGGTCTCTATCGAGACCTCGGGAGCTGTATTCTGCACTAGACGAAGCTTCCGGATTGTCTTCAAACGACACATCCAGAGCTTTTAGCTCCTGCAATGGCCCAATATGCCCTTTGTGTAACAGCCATATATAAACAAAGTTTGGCGAATAGAGAACCTACTAGGCACTCCAAAAACAGGGACATGACATGGTTCAAAAAATAGCTGGAATATCAAAGCTTCATCTTTTAAAGTGCGCTGTTTTTAATCACCTACGTTTTGGGGCTATCAGCCACGGGTAGAATGGATCCTCTCCATGCAGAAGGTTTGGGGTTCAGCCTCCGGCATCTCCAGTTAAAAAGTAGCAGGTGATGGAAAAGACCTTTCTCTGGTTGAGCGCCTGGAGGGCTGCTGCCAATCAGAGTTGACCAAATTGGGTAGTAGCCTGATGTAATGTAGGGCAGCTGTGTGCACACCTGGATCCTTGCTTGGCTATTTTCTTCAGGGCAGTTTTAGATGCTGAAGAGACAAGCCTCTTTTGAAACCGAACGGTGGCTTGTCTTTTCAGCAGCGAAGAAAAGCAAAGGACCCTTTTGTGTGCGCTTCTGTCCTCTTTGCACACACGTCTCTTTCCCTGCTCTACAGGTTTCTGTCCTTTCCCATGGTTTTGCAAAAGCAGAATAAATTATGCAAGGTAGACACTTGTGAAATGACTTTATCTGCATAATTTATACACATTTTGCCTTTTTAAAAAGAAGTGTTTCTCCACACACACACACCCAAGAAAACTTTAGAACATTGGGATCCTTTGATCTAAGTCTTATTCATTTTCCCCCTAGAGGTAAAATTATACCTACCGATGGGATATGCCATGTTTCTCCTCTCTTTCCACCATGAAGCTATTTGGAGGAATGATGTACACCTGCGTTAGCTAAATATATATGCATGCTTTCAACATGCATGACGACAAAAGGTGCTATTAAGGTGACAAAGTAAAGGAAGAAAAGGAGGGTGCAAGCCAGAATAAAACCAAGATGATAGTCAGGGACGTTGGCTTACTGCACAGCTGTCAAAATAATGACAGGTGGCGACGAGATTTTGTGCATTGAACCAAATCTAATTATAGTGATAATAAATGGACGGGTGGTCACCATGGTACTCTCCAGATATTGTTGGACTCCACCTCCCATCACCCCGTGCTTAGGGATGATGGGAGTTGTAGTCCAACAATTCCTGGAAGGCACTTAACACTGTGCAACCCCAGGACTCTAAAACAAAGGGCAGATCTGCCTTCTGGTGCCATAGACAGAAGACTGGAGCCTATTGGCTGGAGACTTTTGAATAAGGTTTGAAGCTGGATATGACTAAGATCCAAATCGTTCCACTTGGGTGAGGTATTATGTGACCATGGTTTCATCTGTAAACAGTGAAAAATTGTCATTCTGGTTGCACATGGTACTGACTGCATGGAATCCTGCCCACATGGGAGCAGTGACCATCAAATGCCACATCTAAATCAGACCCGACTGGCTACAAAAATCAGATGGTTTTGTTACATCCTACCATACTGGACTTCAGGCTAAAGATGTGTAGGACTTATTTGGGGTAAGAGTTACCTCTGTTCTGAAGGGTTGTAAGCCTGCTATTTGAGAGTGTCCTCTGTCTGAGTCCAAGTCTGGTTTAAAGAGAAGGAAGGAGGAAACGAAGTCTTGAGGTTGCCCATACATGTCACTTGGGGTATTCCTCACTAAGGTGAGATGTGCTGCAATTCCTATTTAAATGATATTCATTATTTCCAAATTTGCACCTATGCATATGGATTAGGTAAAGGTAAAGGGACCCCTGACCATTAGGTCCAGTCGTGGCCGACTCTGGGGTTGCGGCGCTCATCTCGCTTTATTGGCCCAGGGAGCCAGTGTACAGCTTCCGGGTCATCTGGCGAAGCAGAGCAGCGCACGGAAACGCCGTTTACCTTCCCACCATAGCGGTACCTATTTATCTACTTGCATTTTGACATGCTTTCGAACTGCTAGGCTGGAAGGAGCTGGGACAGAGCAACGGGAGCTCACCCCGTCATGGGGATTCAAACTGCCGACCTTCCGATCGGCAAGCCCTAGGCTCAGTGGTTTACACCACAGCGCCACCCGCGTCCATGCATATGGATTAGCATATGCAAATTTTATGCAATCTGGTGACGTCATAAACTCTCTTCTTTCTTTCTGGTGATGTGTAAGTAGGTGCCCTACATGGAAGTGGTGAGTGGTTTTTGTTCAGCCTGAGTTGCAGCTTCTGCAGCTGATAAACAGAGCTGCTCTGATGCAGCAACTTTCCATTTGCAAAGCCCTCTCTGGACTGAGAACTGCATGTGTCGTTTTTGTTGTTCTTCTTATTTTTAATTATATTTATTAATCCCTTTTTAAAAAAAGAAAAAAGAAAAGACCTCAAAGAGACTTACGGAATCAGAAGCTGACATATACCGTGATACCCTAACAAAATGAATGTACCACTTGATAAAGCCCAATAGCCGTGCATTGTGCAAAACTATTGCTACATACGATTGGAGCTGGTGTCTCAGTAAATAGAGATGAAACGAATTTTTTCACTTAAAAAAAGGCAAACATTTCATAATTCTTTTTTTAAAAAAGTCATATGAAGTTTTTGAAGGCTGCTTTTGGAAAATTAAGTCTTAAGATTGGCAGATGACTTTGCAGGCAATTGTGCTAAGGATCAATCATTTCCATTGTTTCTAATACCTCTAAATGCAACAGCATTTATAATCTGGAAATATTGTCAAGATGAATTATGCACTCAACCATCTTCAGCAAGTCCCAGTTCTTGCCAGGTCCAGTTTCAGTGCACCAAACTGACAAGCCAAGCTCTGCCTGGCTTAACCTTCAAGCTTTTGCCTTGTGTTAACTGAACCGTTGGGTGGGCTTGATTTGCAGTAAGCGAAAGTCCCCTTTTTGCATTCATGGGTTGGCAAGCAAATAAACATCCACATGGGCAATGCACAAGCAAATAAAGGCTGGATGGAAAAACAATGGACTGCTGTTGCTTTTATTTATTATGCTTTGACTTGCAAACGACAGTATCTCAACATCCCCTGCTATTTAACCTGATGGACAGATTGGTCATGTACACTAGACATTTGCAGCATGTGGCTTCCCCCAAAACAATCCTGGGAAATGTAGTTTTCTAAGAGTGCAGGGAACTGCAGCTCTGTGAGTGAGTAAACTACAATTCCCAGAATTCACCAGGGGGAATCACGTACTTCAAATGTATGGTGGGTACGCAGCCATAGAACTGTCCAATTCCTGCTCACCTGCCACTAATACCAACAGTTGTAGATGGGCCAGAGTTCATATTTTAGCCCCAGAATATTTGCCTTAGTACGGTGGTACCTCAGTTTATTAACTTAATCCATTCCGGAAGTCCGTTCTTAAACTGAAACCATTCTTAAACCAAGGTGCACTTTCCCTAATGAGACCTCCCACCGCCATTCCAACATTCAGATTCTGTTCTTAGACCAGGGTAAAGTTCAAAAACTGGGACACTACTTCCGCTTTTGCGGAGTTCGTAAACTGAAAAATTCGTTAACAGGACTGTTCTTAATCTGAGGTACCACTGTATCTGTGGGATGTGAAACACAAGAGCAGTCAAGTACAGCATTCCTAGAGTGAACATGTTTACACATGGGGAGGAATGTTTGTTCAGCCAGCAGGTAAACTTCCTGTTTCCTTCTGGGCTGGGACAGACTTCCTCTGCATGTGACTAGAGGTGGGCGTGGCCTCACCTGTGCAGGTAACGACAAAAGCACAGGGCAGGGCAGGCATCTCTCTCTGTCACTACTTTCATCAAAGAAGCAACATCTGCTTAGCCAAAGGGACTATCTCTTTATGAGATAGTTTCCAGGTGTATGTTATTTTTCTAAGCCATGTCTGCCTTCTGGGATCCGATTGTGAACAGAATGTGAGTGAGTAAGCTCTTTTTATACTTTTATAGAAGACTGTGTCATGTCTTATCTTTTATGAGGGAATAAGCGGAAAATACCAGAACAGTTATTATCGAGGCTTTAGCAAGCCTGAGCAAACGCATCCGCTGTGAGTTTAAAAAGGGGAATGTTACTCTGCTAAATTGTGAACTTGTTTACACAAGTTGGAAAGGCTATAATCAAACAACATATCCTCTCCTGCATCCCTGAACATTCTCACAGTATCTCCATAAATGAAAATTCTGTAGACCTGAGATGACTTAGCAGAATGTCACAGAAAATCTGCTTTCAGAAATGAAACCATCATTTAATTTGCTGAGTCGTGGCAAGCAGCTATGCTAACTGCGCTTAGCAGCTTTCTTTAATGAAGCCTTCCAAGAGAAGAAGAGGTTCATGTCTGTTGCTAAGCAGAGAGGTAGAAAGAGATAGAAGTGTTGGTTGCACAATACAGCTGGGTTCAAATGACCCTGCCCAGGAGGGTCTCTCCAGGATCTCTGCTTTTAAAAAAGCAGTTCCCAGCATATGTTCCCCGAAGTCCTGTAACTGGTGATGCCAGAAGTTGAGCCACAGGGTCTTCTGTGTGGTAGAGTTCTGATATCTTCCTTAGTGGAGAATTGTTCCCACCCTCCTGTGGCAAATGTTGCCCCCATCTTCAAAAGGGTGGGGGGAATATTACTGGCGATGGAATCCAGTTTCTCCAGTGCCAAATCAAGCAGCAAAATGTAAACAGAGATTCTAGTCCTTAGGTCTGCAGCGGGGAAATGCTTTGCCAGAAAATGTGGAAACACTCCATAAAACATTTTAGATTGGAACGGATAGAGGGTTTTTTCTTCTTTTGATGTTGTAACTTCTCTGACCCTTCAGGATTCTGTATTCCTTCTCATATATTGAATAATATATAATATTCTTTCCCCCATTCCTCATTCCCATCTGCTTTCCACATTCTTCAAAAGTCAACATTTATGGCAGAAATAAGCAATGGTATACGATCTATCAAATTTATTTTTTAGTCTTTGGATGTTCTCACAGTGCTGAAATAGCCTCGGTGTTTCCCCACCTCGCCTCCTTACCTCCAATGCTGAGAAGCTTGTGGGATGTGACACATAAGTAGCAGTCAAGTACAACATTCCTTGTTTTCCTAGAGTGGACATGCAGGGGAATGTTTGGTGCAGCCAGTCGAAAACTTCCTGTTTCCTCCTGGCTGGGACGTACTTCCTTTGCATGTGACTAGAGGTGGGCGTGACCTTACCTGTCCAGGTAACAAAAGGACAAGGCACGCAGCACACACTCTCTCTCTTTGACTTCCTCCATCATTGGAGCAGCTTTTTAGCTAGAAATACTCTTTCAGCCAACAGAGGACACTGGGATTATCCCCATATGGGATAGATCCACAGCTATATATCTGTAACTAAGTCTGCCTTCAGGGATCCAACTGTGAACTGATGATGTGAGTAAACGTCTTCTATTGACTTTAAATAAGATTGTCTTGTGTTTATTCTTTTTAAGAGGGATATAAGGGAACTTACCAGGAATCTAATACTGAGAGGCTTACACAAGCCTGCAACCAGCTACCCGCTGTGTGTTTAAAAGGGGACTGTAAAACTCTGCTAAGTAAAGGAACTTGCTAATGCAAGTTAGGAAGGATATTAATAAACAATATATCCTCTCCTGCCTCCCTGAACATTCCCACAAAGCTCTGATCCCATACCCCTTTGTGAACACAACCTTTCTTTGCTATACAGAAGGAAGCCCTTGTTCGGAGATGAGCTCTGTGCTTGCCCTGGATCTCACATGACCAAAAAGAACACCTTGATTGGAGCAGACAGCAAACCAACACTTATGCATGTCCCTCATTGTGTGCATGGGGTCTCCCTTCTGCCCTGATGTTAGAGGAATAGGGCAGTGTGTACTCCCCTGGAACTCTGTACATGCACTGGAGCTCTGGGTTCAAGACACACACACATTATTATATTCTCAGTACAATCCTTATGCAGGATCTCTGCATGACCACAGGTTACATATATTGACAACCATGCACATTTTGAAGGCGCCGTGAATATTTTGCAAGAGAAGTCAGCTTAAGGTCACTAAGTAGCACCGGGATCGACAATTCTTTGCAACACAGACATCAACGTTGGACATTTCTGCGGGACTCCAGACAGGAAGCAGCAAACCAACATGAACAGAAATAAAAAAAATGGCAGCAAATGAAAACAGGAAAATGACATCGCCTGTCTCTGTTTTGCTGTTGCTAACCATACACATAGGAAAAAAATCGCCAGCAGATGTGTTCGCCATGTGGGCTCTAGGCTGTGCAACCTTGGAAGCTAACGGGAGCATTAGAACATTTGATATGTGGTGCTTGGGGACAGAGGAAGTTTCCTTATACAGTCGTACCTTGGAAGTCAAACAGCTTAGTTCCCAAACAATTTCGCTTCCAAACGCCACAAGCCTGGAAGTGACTGTTCCGGTTTGTGAACTATTTTTGGGAGCTGAACGTCCAACGGCGCTTCGGCAGCTTCCTGCAGCCAATCAGAAGCCGCGCTTTGGTTTCCCGAACGTTTTAGAAGTCAAACGAACTTCCGGAATGGATTCCATTCGACTTCCAAGGTACGACTGTACTGAGACAGGCCTTTCCTCGATCTAGTACAGTATTCTGAACAAAGACTGGCAGCAGGTCTCCATGGTTTCAGGTCAGGGGAATTCCCAGCTCTATCTGGGCATATTGGGAATTGAACCTGAAACCTTATGCATGGAAAGCAGACACGCAAACCACTGAGCTATGGTCCCCCTCCCCCCGAATCATCCCTTGTGAGCTGTTTTAAAGACAAATCTCTTGACAGATGCTCCCCTGTGAGCTCTACAGTGAACATGAAGCAAATGGCCATTTTGGGAGGGGGTGAGGGGGGGGAGTGACAGTTCTTTCACTTTCCATAGCAGCACAGCCTCAAGCAGAAATACGCCATGCCAGGTTGGAAGGAACACCACAAAACGCTCTTGTGTATGAATGCTGCGACCCCAAGCTGGATAAAATTCCCAACAGGGATTAGACAAGGATATTCCTTGCATGGCAAAGACTGTCTCATTCTAGCGGGCTTTCTAAGGTAGTAAAAAGCACTCAATGGTGTTATGGCTGGCGATAGCTGTGACCTGGAAGTAGGCATGACCTACAGAGAGATAGTATAGCATGGCCCCCATCCAGAATTAGGTAAAGGTAAAGGGACCCCTGACCATTAGGTCCAGTCGTGACCGACTCTGGTGTTGCGGTGCTAATCTCGCTTTATTGGCTGAGGGAGCCGGTGTACAGCTTCTGGGTCATGTGGCCAGCATGACTAAGCCGCTTCTGGCGAACCAGAGCAGCGCACGGAAACGCCGTTTACCTTCCCGCCGGAGCGGTACCTATTTATCTACTTGCACTTTAAGGTACTTTCAAACTGCTAGGTTGGCAGGAGCAGGGACCGAGCAACGGGAGCTCACCCCATCGTGGGATTCGAACCGCTGACCTTCTGATTGGCAAGCCCTAGGCTCTCTGGTTTAACCCACAGTGCCACCCGCATCCCTTCATCTCGAATTACAGCACCAATAATTTTCCTACTGGAATGCTGACCTAATATTTGGGGTACCAGCCAGCAACACAGAAGCGGAGGTGTCAGATAAATTGATTCAATGCGCAGAACACTGGGAAAACTCTCTGCCCAGAAGTCTTTTTAAATATCCAGACTGGAAAATGTATTTCCTCCTTTACAAGCCCACCCAGCGGAGGTGAAACTGTCACCCAATAGTGCAATGCCACAAAACCGGGGTAGCCAATGGGATATTCTCCAAATTTGGGGGGTGGGGTGGCTCTGACTCCCCAGTCCCAGCTTATGTGGCCAATGGTCAGGGATGATAAGAGCAATAAGGTAAAGGACCCCTGGACAGTTAAGTCCAGTCAAAGGCGACTATAGGGTTGCGGCGCTCATCTTGCTTTCAGGCCAAGGAGCCGGCGTTTGTCCACAGACAGCTTTCTGGGTCATGTGGCCAGCAGGACTAAATTGCTTCTGGTGCAATGGGACACTGTGATGGAAACCAGAGCGCACGGAAATGCCGTTACCTTCCCGCCACAGCGGTACCTATTTATCTACTTGCACCGGTGTGCTTTCAAACGGCTAGGTTGGCAGGAAGCTGGGACAGAGCAACAGGAGCTCACCCCATTGCGGGGATTTGAACCGCCGACCTTTTGATCGGCGAGCCCAAGAGGCTCAGTGGTTTAGACCACAGCGCCACCTGCTATAGTCCAGTAACAACTGAAGAGTTGGCTGAAGTCAGAGATATCTGCATTCTCCTACAATCGGTGATGACAGCCATTAATGGCAAGAGGCGTCCCACATGCTTATTTTCCCCTTGTTCCTGTTCCTTGTGCCTCCTGTTAAAATGGGTTTTCCTCCGGAAAAAAAGGGCATTCTAGCTTTGAAATAAATTTAGAAACATAATCTATATGAGCAGAAGATTTCCGCCATGGCTGTGTGCAAGAGGTGGTGCTTTGGATCAGCTTTTGTGTTTGTTAACAAAATAAAAACAGAAATTTAGGAACATCGGTAGCTATGTTGTCCTTAAATGGAATATACACACACACATTCCAACATAACCCCAAGGTTTCAAATACGTATGTGGAAACTTTGCTTTCCTCCTTTTGTCTTCATCTCAATTCTTCCTTAGCCTGATATTCCATGCAAAGGAAAATGTTTAGAAAGCTGCCTTAAACTGAGTCAGACTATTGACCTCTCTGGCTCAGTATTGTCTACACAAGTGTTCTTCAGCCTTCAATCCCTCAGATGAAGGTGGACTACAACAACCATAATCCATGACCATTGTGGATGATGGGTGTTGTAGTCCACCCAAATCGTGGGACCCAAAGGTTGAAGAAGACTGGTGTAAGCTGACCGGGGGTGGCTATCCAAGTTAGAGAGAGGCATTTCTCCCGGTCCCACCTTCCCAAATTGAAACCTCCCCAAGCCACATGTTCACTTTTTCCTATGTGTATGTCAGAGCTCAAAACCAACTACGGCTCCTTGGACAGTTCTGCCCTGTACTTACAAGTAAATGCTGGATTCGTTGCCCCCGATATCAGGCGACTGGAGCTTCTGGACCAGGATGATGATGATGCCCACGAAAAGCAAGAAGTTGATCTGGAGAGAGAGGGAGAAAGAGGAAAAGGGACCCATGAATCACCGAAGAACAGGAGCAGGAAGCTTCAGTTAACCAGATCTGTGGCTGACTGTCCTCCAGCTAAACTGCCTCCACCAAATATTTAATTTAGTTATTTATTCAATTTATATACCACCTTTTATCAAAAGTTCCCAGAACAGTGTACAACATTAAGAACACAATTTATGGAGCATAATAATAATAATAGCATAATAACAGACAGCATAATAATAAAATAATGAGATATACAGGCGTTCTCCCACTTCCACCAGGCTTATGTTTCGGGTGCCTGTACACATATGTGAAATCACATAATGTGGGGAGCCCCTTCTGAACACCTCCAAGCAAAGGCAGTCCTTTTATTTTTATAAACACTTATTTTTTTTTAAATAAATCTTTATTTTTTTGTAAGAGGAATATTTGGATGAGTTAATACTTGACTATCCCTTCGGCGCTGCAATGTATCATTGTACTTTTGTTCTTTTGTGCTGTGATACTTTGTGGTTAAAATTTCGGATTCTTTGTCTTTCTTTTATAAAAAAGTATTTATGAATACAGTCGTACCTTGGAAGTCAAACGGAATCCGTTCCAGAAGTCCATTCAACTTCCAAAACATTCGCAAAGCAAAGCGCGGCTTCTGATTGGCTGCAGGAGCTTTCCCCGTCGGACGTTCGGCTTCCAAAAATAGTTCGCAAACCGGAACAGTCACTTCCGGTTTTGCGATGTTCGGGAGCCAAAACGAAGCTGTTCAAAAACCAAGGTACGACTGTATCTTGGAGGTTTTCAAGCAGAGGTCAAATGGCCACCTGTCATGGATGCTTTAGCTGAAATTCCTGCATTGCGGGGGGCTGGACTAGACCCACGGGACACCTTCCAATTCTAAAATTCAGTGATTTTATGATTCTCCATTATAGTTCCATTATTATTGAGCACAAAGGTTAGTTTCAACTGAGCCAGACATTTGCATACACTAATAGCACTGAGGACTCTTCTATAGTTCTGCTTGTGCCATGCCTAGAAAGCTAGGATCCAAGTAGTTTCCCCCTTGCCCTTCTCTTTTCCAAGGGAAAACCTGCTCTTTAGTGTTAAGGTAAAGGTAAAGGTACCCCTGCCCGTACGGGCCAGTCTTGCCAGACTCTAGGGTTGTGTGCTCATCTCACTCTATAGGCCGGGGGCCAGCGCTGTCTGGAGACACTTCCGGGTCACGTGGCCAGTGTGACAAGCTGCATCTGGCGAGCCAGCGCAGCACACGGAACGCCGTTTACCTTCCCGCTGGTAAGCGGTCCCTATTTATCTACTTGCACCCGGGGGTGCTTTCGAACTGCTAGGTTGGCAGGCGCTGGGACCAAACGATGGGAGCGCACCCCGCCGCGGGGATTCAAACCACCGACCATGCAATCGGCAAGTCCTAGGCGCTGAGGTTTTACCCACAGCGCCACCCGTGTCCCGGCTCTTTAGTGTTAGATCCGAACAAATGGCAATGTGGGGAAACCCCCAATTGCCCTTTGTTCCAACTCAGTGCTACAGAGCTGTTTTCCCCAGGGGAAAGCGCTGGGAGAAGAGAAAGGATGGATAAGCCCCGAGTGACCATGTGCCTCAATATCTGTATAAGAAATAAAATAATGGCATGCATTTTTAAAAAGGTCATTAATGTGCTTCCCTTTAGATGCTTTTCGGCTATGATATACCTTTTCAAGAATGGCAGTTCTCGAAGTCACTTTGCTAATTTCTTGTAGCCATCAAGTGATAACATTTTGGGATCCAAACATGTTTGGAAGCCTCTTATTGCATGCCCCCCCCAAAAAAATTTCTCTGAGGAAAATAGGGCCACCCTATTCCATAATAATAATAATTTTATTATTTATACCCCACCCATCCTACTGGGTTGCCCCAGCCACTCTGGGTGGCTTCCAACATATAAAAACATAATAAAACATTAAAGATTTTTTTTTTAAAAAAAACCTTCCCTATACAGGGCTGCCTTCAGATGTCTTCTAAAGGTTGTCTAGTTACTTATCTCCTTGGCTGGCGGGTGGGGGTCACATAGCTCCATACCCTCCAACATTTCTCCAATGAAAATAGGGATGTCCTAAGGAAAAGCGGGGCATTCCAGAATCAAATCAGAAACCAGGACAACTTTCTTAATTCTGGGACTGTCCCTGGAAAATAGGGACACCTGGAGGGTCTGTTATTGAAGACTTACTCGTTTACCAGTCTGGCTCATTCCTGAGCCATCCTTTGTCCTCTCCAACTTACCATTATTGATGCAATCACAGGGCCTTTGATCACCCACCACAAGGCTGTGTTGTCGTTCATGTCCCAGCAGCTGCGACCCAGATGGAAGGCGAGCGGAAATCATAGAGACAAAAGAGAAAGGTTAAGAGGCCAGATGAAACACTTCTCCCCCTAGTGTGACCTGGATCTAGGCTACAGACCTACTTGACATGAGTTCAGCCATGATGCTCCCCCACTTAACCTCTGCTCATTTAATCCTTAGTAGCAGGCAACACCAACCAACTACTCTGACTTCCTTAGCTAGAAGCTGTCAATTCGTAGAAAAGCCAATTCTGCAACTGAGCAGAATGCGGTTGTGACTTTTTTGTTGATGTCAACAGTAAGGGAAAGGGAAAGGACCCCTGGACTGTTAAGTCCAGTCAAAGGTGACTATGGGGTTGTAGCGCTCATCTCGCTTTCAGGCTGAGGGAGCTGGCGTTTGTCCACATACAGCTTTCTGGGTCATGTGGCCAGCAGGACTAAACCACTTCTGGTGCAACAGGAAACCAGAGCGCATGGAAACGCCGTTTACCTTCCCGCCACAGCGGTACCTATTTATCTACTTGCACTGGCATGCTTTCGAATTGCTAGGTTGGCAGAAGCTGGAACAGAGCAACGGGAGCTCATTCCGTTGCGGGGATTCGAACCGCCGACCTTCGGACCGGCAAGGCCAAGAAGCTCAGTAGTTTAGACCACAACAGTGACACCTACCCAACGTCATCAAAGTGAAGTCTAAGGACAGCCCAGATGGTGACGCAAATGGTAGGAGTTCCTGCAGAGAAGAAGAAGAAGTTGTTGGGTATGTGATCTTTGCCCTTTACAAGCAGAGGGTGTGTAAGATGGAAGCTCTTCTAAAGGAAGTGACGGAAAGAGACACATACCCCAGCCGATGATGGTGTACCAGTAAAAGTATCTCCTCTCTGGAAAGAAAGTCTCCACCAGCAAGGTGAAAAGGTACAGCCCCTCGATGAAGAGCCAGAAATAGTTGGACATGACGCAGTAGTGGAAAAAGACCATCACGGCCTTGCATTCCACCTGTGGAAGAGAAAAGAACTTCAGTCTGTTGCTCCATCTCCTGGGCTGGGCTCTCAGAACTCTGCCCAGGCTGCAGTCTTCCCTGCCCCGGCTTCACACATCCAAGTGGGGTTGCTACCTGTCCTGTATAATACAGGATTGTCCCATATTTCAATGTAAAATGCTACGTCCTGTATTGATACAGTTTTGTCTTGTATTTCATGTCCTCTCTCTTTCCCCCCCTCCTTCCGCCAGTTAGGAAACCTCTCTAAACGCAGGTGTTTGAAAAGGCATGTGAAAAATCTTGTATTTAAGCTCCGGGTAGCAAAGCACAGACAGATGTACAAATTCATGCCTATGTTTGTGTACGAGTGTGGCAGTTCCAGAGGTTTCATCCTGTTATGCTGCAAACAGCCTAAGCCTGGTATACCTGAAGGAGTATCTCCACCCCCATTGTTCACTGAGGTCCGACTCTGATGGCCTTTTGGCAGTTCCCTCCCTGCGAGAAGTGAGCCTACAGGGAACCAGGCAGAGGGCCTTCTCGGTAGTGGCGCCCGCCCTGTGGAATGCCCTCCTGTCAGATGTCAGATAAACAACTATCTGACTTTTAGAAGACAACTGAAGGCAACCACGTATCAGGAAATTTTTAATATCTAATAATGTTTTACAATTTTTTTATGTACTGTAAGCCACCCAGAGTGGCTGGGGAAACCCATCCAGATGGGCAGAGTATAAATATTATTATTATTAGCAATGAATTGCTCTGAAGTCAATTCAGCACCAAAAAAATCACATCCACCTAAGTGTCCTGCCCCATCTTGTCCTGTCCTGTATGTTGCCAAAACAAAGGATGCAACCGTACTTCCAAATGTTTTCACCTGCCTGAAAAGCATCCTTAAACTCTGATCATCTGTCTTCCCTGCCTGAAGGATAGAAGGTATATGTGTAAAAACTAGCCCACCGTGCAGAAAATAAAATCTGTGTTTGTCTCTCTACCCAATTTTGCTTCTGGCTTCTCCCGCAGTGAGCTTGCGGCCCCCAGAAGGCTGCCCAGATGGGAAAAGCTTTTGCACTGCCGCTCTGGAAAGCTGGTCTTTAAAGTGTACTCCAAGTCAGCCATGGCATTTTTAAGTTCTTAGGAAAAACATGGATTATTATTATTCTTTTTTAACCCAACGACCTGTACTTTAAAATATGACTAAAAGCATTTGCGGGGAGTGACGGGGGAGGAATATAAACACTGCCACCTAGATGCTGCCACTCTAAAAGCAGAGAAAAAGCAATTCCAGGCGTCAGGAGGTGTTTGATGAAAGGTTGCAGGGAGCTTGCGGATTTCTAGTGCAGGCCAGGAGAGAGACAACAATGGCTGCTAATTGGCAGACTGAAATCCTCCAGGCCTTTCCTGAATGCAAGAAAAGAACCCAGCTGTGTGTATAATGCATGTGCGCGCGCGAAGTAATTCAAGGAAGACGTGGGGATAAGAATGGAGGAGAAAATGTGGACAAATTGCTAAGGAGCTTATAAAAGGATGCACCCCACTGGGTGACCCAGAGAAACGCCTGTCCTCACAGCCTGCAGAACCTGCCACTCACAACAAAAGTGAGAAATAGTGCCAGCTAGTTGGAGGATGGATGGCAGGTAACAGGTTGAATCCTGCCGAGACAGAAGTACTGTTTGGGGGGACAGGGGGCAGGCTGGTTTGGAGGACTCTGGTCCTGAATGGGGCAACTGTGCCCCTGAAGGACCAGGTGTGCAGCCTGGGAGTCATTTTGGGCTCACTGCTGTCCATGGAGGCGCAGGTCAATTCTGTGTCCAGGGCAGCTGTCTACCAGCTCCATCTGATACGTGGCTGAGACCCTACCTGCCCGCAGACTGTCTTGCCAGAGTGGTGCATGCTCTGGTTATCTCCCGCTTGGACTACTGCAATGCGCTCTACGTGGGGCTACCTTTGAAGGTGACCCGGAAACTACAACTAACCCAGAATGCGGCCACTAGACTGGTGACTGGGAGTGGCTGCCGAGACCTTATAACACCAGTCCTGAAAGACCTACATTGGCTCCCAGTACGTTTTCGAGCACAATTGGTGTTGGTGTTGACCTTTAAAGCCCTAAACGGCCTTGGCCCAGTATACCTTAAGGAGCGCCTCTACCCCGGTCATTCCATACCGGACACTGAGGCCCAGCTCTGAGGGCCTTCTGGCGGTTCCCTCACTGTGAGAAGTGAGGTTACAGGGAACCAGGCAAAGTGCTTTCTTGGTAGTGGCCCCTGCCCTGTGGAACGCCCTCCCATCAGATGTCAAGGAAATAAACAACTATCTGACCTTTACAAGACATCTGAAGGCACTCCTGTATAGGGAAGTTTTTAATGTTAGATGTTTTATTGTGGTTTAGATATTTTGTTGGGAGTTGTCCAGAATGGCTGGGGACACCCAGCCAAATGGGCAGGGTATAAATAAATAAATAAATAAATAAATAAATAAATAATATATTATAGCTAGTGGCACAGAGGTAGACATTCACTCAAAGACAAATACGGATCTGAATCTCTGACTGCATTTGGCTCCCAAGCCTGAGGTTCTCTGCTCCTGGTGTAAACATATGTACTACATCAATGATTTATATTTCTGTATCTATTCTTATTCCTCTGTTCTCTTCCTGGAAAGTGCTAGACTTGGACTTCTAGCCCACTTTACCGTTGAGATAAAGCAATGGTTGCTGTCCTGTTCAGCGTACAGAACTCCATCCTTGATGAAGACCGAAATGGCTCGCAGGATGAAGGAGACAAAGAGATTCATGTGGATGAAGTTCCGTGTGCAGTGCAGTTTCCTGGGGGTGAGAGGGATGGAAAGGTCACCAAGGAGGAAAGGCCATGTCTAATCTGCAACCTATTTATTCTATATACAGTGGAACCTTGGTTCTTGAATGTCATCCGTTCTGGAAGTCTGTTTGACTCCCAAAATGTTCAAAAACCAAGGTGTGGCTTCCAATTGGTGCAGGTGCCCCGGAAACTATAGCCGACAACCGCATTGGATATTCAGCTTCCGAAAAATGTTTGAAAACCGGAACACTTACTTTTGGGTTTTTGGTTTCGGGAGCTGATTTGTTCATCAACTAAGCCGTCCGAGAACCAAGGTTCCACTGTATATTGTAGTGGAATTCAATGTTGCACTTTCCAGGTGGAACAAATCCCCTCAATTTTCTGTGTTCTCCAAATCCCCTCACCCCACAGGAGCCCATTTTGGGGGTACAGAGAAGGTACAGTGTATCTGGGAAAGCCCCACTTCACAAGTGGAAGTCCTTGCACAGGACTTCCACTGACAAGGGTGCGCAAGGTGAATCACTCTCAGAAATTCTTGGTTTGGAGGGGTTTCCTGTCTACAGTGTTAACTCTGGTTGCGAAAGGGATCTGTTCAGGAGGCCCGTTCGCAACATGAAAAGAGCGCAACATGCAGTGGCGCGTCTGCACACACGTGGCTTGCAATTCGCCACTTCTGCGCATACGTGTGACGTCATTTTGCGCTTCTGTGCATGCACGAGAGGCGAAACCCGGAAGTAACCCTGTCCGGTACTTCCGGGTCACCGCGGGACGTAACCTGAAAGAACGTAACATGAAGCGGACGTAACATTAGGTATGACTGTATTAACTATGTTCTGTTCTCTATTCCTTTGGACCCCTCTTCAGACATTGTAACCAAATCTCGCCTGATGGTCCCTGGAACGAAGAAGCAGGCTTCGGTCAATGTTTTGGTACAAAGCCTCGAATCATTTTGACTGAACCTTTCAAATCTGCATTTGTTTGTTTTGTTTCTTAGCATTCCCAAGCACCGCTGCATATGAGGCTCCTGGTATCTCAAGACTGCAGTGGCTGAGTTAAGGAGGGGTTTGCTTGCTCTGCTTCCCAACAACACAAGCCCCATTTCCCCCCCGGTCGGCACAGATGCAAAACCTCTCTCGCTCTCGCCAAACTCACCTGAAACGGCACAGGATCACCATTGCAGTGGTGAGCGACACAAGGGAAGTGCTGTAGCCCACTGTGTACAGAGCCTTTACCGAGAGGTAGTAGTAATCCTGAGAAAGCAAACCACAATGTGCTCATTACTACGAATCATGAAATCCAGATCTGGGATGCCAAAACGATTGTCAGATTTTTTGCTTTGGGAAGAGTACCACACTTTTCTGTCTGTAAGACGCCCCCATGTATAAGACGCCCCCTATTTTTGGGATGCGGGTGGTGTTGTGGGTTAAACCACAGAGCCTAGGACTTGCCGATCAGAAGGTTGGCAGTTCAAATCCCCCTACGGGGTGAGCTCCCGTTGCTCAGTCCCTGCTCCTGCCAACCTAGCAGTTCAAAAGCACGTCAAAGTGCAAGTAGATAAATAGGTACCGCTCCGGCGGGAAGGTAAACGGCGTTTCCGTGAGCTGCTCTGGTTTGCCAGAAGCGGCTTAGTCATGCTGGCCACATGACCCAGAAGCTGTACGCCGGCTCCCTCGGCCAACAAAGCGAGATGAGTGCCACAACCCCAGAGTCGGTCACGACTGGACCTAATGGTCAGGGGTCCCTTTACCTTATTTTGGGGGACTCAAATTTAAGAAAATGGGGGGAGATGGAACAGGGTTGTTGAGCTTTTTGTAGGGGGGATTGCCAAAAATTGCTCACCCAAACGCATCACAGAATCCACCCCATCTATGGCAGGAGCTGCCAATTGCCCACCCAACTGCCGGAGCATCAGCCAATCAACACCACCCATTGAAGCAGCAACCAATAACACGCACAATAGCTGCTGACAGCCACGGCAGCAACCAATCAAATGTCCACACTATACACTACCCATGTTATCAGACGACCCCCACTTTTTAGCATGATTTTTAAAGAAAAGAACATAGTCTTATACACGGAAAAGTACAGTATTCATCTTCAACTGCTTCCAGCGAAGGATGGGTGGATCAGCCTATATCTGGTTCATATCCATTTTGCATGTGTTTATTCATAACTCTGATCCATCCTGTTTACTCACCATTATTATTATTTTAAAGAAAACCACCCATCAGATTCATATTTAAATATGCCTATTATCAAAAGCAGTATTTAATTTGACGTTTTATCAAGGTATGTGTTCCTAAATGCACGTTATCAGTAAATACGCATTTCCTTTTTTGCAGGGTGAATTCTGAGATAATAACTTAATTGCAAAATTTGGAGAACTGCAAAATCAGAAGGATTCCAATCTACAGGTTTTTCCAGAGGAGCCGGATCAGGGTAGCTCATGTCAGAATTCCCAGAAATCCTTAAGCATCTCTAAATTCAAGCCTACCTGGTTATAATCTCCCATGGTGTCATTCTCATCGAACCCGCAGGCATCGTAGTAATGGGGGAAAGATTCTGACCAGCCGTCCTCAGTGCAGTTCCTACCGACAACCTTTAAATCTGCAGATCCACCTAATAATCAAAATTAACGTGGAACATCTTTGGTAAACGTTCTGCCACTGGAACACACGCTCTAATGCGATGGAATCACAACTGCCTTCTCATTTTTTTCATAGAATCATAGAATAGAATCATAGAATCACAGAGTTGGAATAGACCACAAGGGCCATCGAGTCCAACCCCCTGCCAAGCAGGAAACACCATCAGAGCACTCCTGACATATGGTTGTCAAGCCTCTGCTTAAAGACCTCCAAAGAAGGAGACTCCACCACACTCCTTGGCAGCAAATTCCACTGTCAAACAGCTCTTACTGTCAGGAAGTTCTTCCTAATGTTTAGGTGGAATCTTCTTTCTTGTAGTTTGGATCCATTGCTCCGTGTCCGCTTCTCTGGAGCAGCAGAAAACAACCTTTCTCCCTCCTCTATATGACATCCTTTTATATATTTGAACATGGCTATCATATCACCCCTTAACCTCCTCTTCTCCAGGCTAAACATGCCCAGCTCCCTTAGCCGTTCCTCATAAGGCATCGTTTCCAGGCCTTTGACCATTTTGGTTGCCCTCCTCTGGACACGTTCCAGTTTGTCAGTGTCCTTCTTGAACTGTGGTGCCCAGAACTGGACACAGTACTCCAGGTGAGGTCTGACCAGAGCAGAATACAGTGGCACTATTACTTTCCTTGATCTAGATGCTATACTCCTATTGATGCAGCCCAGAATTGCATTGGCTTTTTTAGCTTCACACTGTTTTTAGCGTCACACTGTTGGCTCATGTCAACACAACTCTTTTGTGAGCTAATATCTTAGTAGGGATAGGGAAATCTCTCAATATTAGTTTCCCATTTTTCCCACTCTTATGCTTCTCCATATGGCCAGCTTGCTTCTTTTCATTTTAATGTCCTTAGGAAAATTTGCCAGCATTTTAATGTGGATTGCTCCTTTGCAACCGATTTCATGAAATACATACATTTTTGCAAACACAATATTTCTTAATACGATGCATTTGCCTGCTATTTTTTACTAACACATGTTGTTTTATGCAAAAATTACAGGCTGCTAGGTTGGAGAACTGTGTGCAAAATTTGGAAAAGTGCAAATTGCGAGGTACGGTTGGGGTTCGGTTCATAAATTATTTTGGAAATTACAAATTACGGTAGGTGGATTTTCCTTTAAATGCAAATTGTATTCAGCTTGGACCCCATTCCTACATCTATTATGGCAAGAAAGACACTATTGGTATTGTTGATACTATTGCTATGGTGAAACCTGTCCTCTAAGTTCTCTAAAGATTTCTCTTCCTATGAAAGAGGATTTATTTATTCTCAGAGTGCTTTAGAATTTATTTCGGATTTCTTCAGGATTTTGGTGAGTGTGGAATTAAACATGCTTTATTGTAGCTGAGGGGGGTATTTATGTATGCAACAACCGCTGCAATAATGTTGATAGCTAGAAGGTGGAAGGGAGAGACTTTGCCAACAAAAGAAGAATGGCAGGTGAAAATGTTTGAATATGTAGAATTGGCAAGGATGACAGGGAAAATTAGGAATCAGACAATCCAAAAGTTCAATAAAGAACGGGATAACTATAGATTATATTTTAAAGAACATTGTTCCCATATGAAACCTTTAACACATTTTGACTAATCCGCGCAATATAATATGTTATAAAGAGTATAGAGTTAATTGTTATAATATCATGCAATTAATGAGGAAACAAAGGACCCATGCTGAAAGAGACGGAAGTCTTAAAGTATGGAAGAACTTAATTTTAGCAATTATAAAACTTATAGAGAAGAAAATTAAAAATGACTTCCAATTAATCTCACTGTACATTATCTATCTATTACTTTATACCGCACAGTTGCATATTTCTTATATAATTTCTTTTTACCTCCCTACAAGCTTATATTTATACAATACAATAATTGCTTTCAGTACCAGAAGTATATATGATGATAGTTATATTAATCTTGTTGTATCTTATAGTGTGGTGGTTTATCCTTCTGTTATTTGTTGTTTGATTGTAAGTTTGATTACTTGTTTGTCCGTCTGTTTTTTCATAAATGTATTTATTTTAAATTAATAAAGATATATTAAAAGAAAAGGGAGAACTTTATTTTATTTATATGTAACATTTATTTTTTGGTAACGTTTTTCTTTTTATGTAACATACAGTGGTGCCCCGCAAGACGAATGCCTCGCAAGACGGAAAACCCGCTAGACGAAAGGGTTTTCCGTTTTGGAGGTGCTTCGCAAAATGAATTTCCTATGGGCTTGCTTCGCAAGACGAAAATGTCTTGCGAGTTCCTGCAGGGTTCCCCCCCCTTTTCCCAAGCCGCTAAGCCGCTTATCAGTTGATCCGCTAAGCCGCTAAGCCGCTTAACAGCTGATCGCTAAGCCGCTTATCAGGTGATCTGCTAAGCCGCTTAACAGCTGATCCGCTAAGCCGCTTATGAGCTGATCCACTAAGCTGCTTATCAGCTGACCCGCTAAGCCTGCTAAGCCGCTAATAGCGCTAATCCGCTAAGCCGCTAATGAGCTTGCTTCGCAAGACTAAAAAACCGCAAGACGAAGAGACTCGCGGAACGGATTCTTTTCGTCTTGCGAGGCACCACTGTATTTTTGCTAACTGTTGGGGGGTGTTTTCTTTTTACTTTTGTGATGTTATATCTATATCTATATCTATATCATCTATATCTATATCTATATCCACACACACAAACTTGCTTTATTGTCAGGAGACACCCATGGCTGGTGTGTGTGTCCTTTTCTTTCCTTGAAAAGTTTTTCAAGTGCTCGGCAGCCTTCCTGGCCCTTGGGGCTTCGTGACCACAAAAACATCCCAAGGAACGAGTTATCTCACAATGTCTTCCCCTAAAATTTAATTGAAGGTCTGACAGAAGCCAGGGAGACTGCACAAGGAGCACCTGAGACCTGTTTATTTGCTGGTTAATTTTCATTTTTTTAAGAAAAAAAGTTGGGGAAAAATTCATGCAGTGTAATTTGTCTTTGAATGCCCTTGCAAACAGGGATGCTAATTAATGTTGGGCAAGTTACCCCCTTTTCTGGCAGGATTGTGGTGTGGTCTGAATTCAATGAACTTTCAGTTCCTCTGTTGCCAAATGTGAGTGATGCTTCATTTCTTAATATGATGCATTTTTTTTCATTATCTGAGAGACAGATGTGTAAACTCTGCAGGCAGAACCGGATTTAGGTTTGATGAGGCCCTAAGCTACTGACGGTAATGGGGCCCAACTGTCCTTTGTCAACAACAAATTGTCACTGTTTTGTGGTGTCGAATATATGCTGTATGGTAATTTATGGACACCACCTTGCCAACAAAGGTCCGTATAGTTAAAGCTATGGTTTTCCCAGTAGTGATGTATGGAAGTGAGAGCTGGACCATAAAGAAGGCTGATCGCCGGAGAATTGATGCTTTTGAATTCTGGTGCTGGAGAAGACTCTTGAGAGTCCCATGGACTGCAAAAAGATCAAACCTCTCCATTCTTAAGGAAATCAGCCCTGAGTGCTCACTGGAAGGACAGATCCTGAAGCTGAGGCTCCAATACTTTGGCCACCTCATGAGAAGAGAAGACTCCCTGGAAAAGACCCTGATGTTGGGAAAGATGGAGGGCACAAGGAGAAGGGGACAACAGAGGACGAGATGGTTGGACAGTGCTCTCAAAGCTATGAACATGAGTTTGACCAAACTGTGGGAGGCAGTGGAAGACAGGAGTGCCTGGCGTGCTCTGGTCCATGGGGTCACGAAGAGTCGGACATGACTAAATGACTAAACAACAACAACAACAATAAATAATTTATGGACCTAATAGGTATCTAAAGCCATTTGCACATAACAAATAGGAGTCTACACAACACAAAACACTGTTGCTGTATGTAGGTTTTATTTTATTTGTTTTTTATATTTTGGAAATGTACATCCAGTTTTTTTCCTTTAAATTTTTTGGGGGGCCCAAGAGAGTGGGGGCCTAAGCTATAGCTTGTTTAGCTTATACGTAAATCCGGCACTGCTCTGCCAGAACCCATTATTACATATTAGCATCAATTATTCGCTTTATGTACATAAGGCCTGGCCACAAAACTGGCAAGAACCAGTTTAGAGGAACCTAACTGGACGTCTGAGTGGAAAAACAGCTCTGGATGAGGTTCAAGCAGGGTTCTGCAGGTACAGTGGTACCTCGGGTTACAGACGCTTCAGGTTACAGACGCTTCAGTTTACAGACTCCGCTAACCCAGAAATAGTACCTCGGGTTAAGAACTTTGCTTCAGGATGAGAACAGAAATTGCGCGGAGGCCCCATTAGCCAAAGTGGTACCTCAGGTGAAGAACAGTTTCAGGTTAAGAACGGACCTCCAGAACGAATTAAGTTCTTAACCCGAGGTACCACTGTATAGCAAAAAACTTTGGTTGAGTAAGTGCTTTCAAGGACTGGTGTTGGATGAGAGATGGTAAGGGAATGAGGTACCCCTTAAGGAGGGACCCCTTAAAATTCTGCAGCGGCCATGCTTATGTTATGTGGGCTTGCCCCCTCAATCGTGGGGACAAGGTGGCCCGTTTGGGTCTTGGAGAAAAGGGGCGGAAGGGTTTCTCTGACATCACTTCCATGTCCTATTGCAACATGGCCTCATGTGGAGCACATTGTGGTCTGAATGATGCAAGGCGCAGAGTATTCGGACTGATAACACTCGTTGCATTTCCGCAGTGATCTGGGTTTCACTGTTTCCTGAGCTCTCTGAGCGCCAGAGGAGGGTGCAATGCTCAGGGTCCTTCCAGGAGCTTCGTTGGCGCAATGCGCAACTCCCTGCCATGCGCTGGCTTCCCACTCGAGACGTCGCTGCGAATGGCAGCGTTGCGGGCTGGGGGGGGGGCGTGCATCTGTTCTTTGACATCGCTCAGTAATTGTTGTTACGGCAATAAGTATAATGTATAATTATGTCCCTGCTAGATGGTAGCACTTGAGAATACATTTTCATAATACCATGCACAGTAATAGGCTGCCACGCGTACCACTATAATTAGAATTGATTAGGAAATTAATATCCATTTAGCTTCAGCTTCAAATCCCTTTTCTCTCCGTCTCCAGTTCAGAGGGTGCCAAAGCACTGTCACCCAGTCTCTTTTCCCTTACCTAGAATTTCGTCTGCGTTGTCCAGGAGTTCGAGGTCACCTGCGAAAGAAGAGCGGCTACCATGAGAATGTCATCCTGAGAGACAGAGAGAGCAACTTTGTTTGGGGAAAACCTTTAAGGAGCGTTGAGAGGGTCTGTTCCTCCGTTGCAGCCAAAATGACAGAGTCTCATGGCATTTTCACAGACCGGCAAATTTAGTATGGCATAAGCTCTCGGAAATATATTCTGCATATATTTAAGTTTTAATGCCATTGTCACAGGGCTGCTTTGCATTTCTTTGTCATGTGAACTCCCTACCAACACCCACATGTAGACCCAGTTGCCACGGTGAGGATCGTGTATCTGATGAAGTGGGCTGCAGTTCAAGGGTGGGGGGCCTTTTTAAGCCTGGGGGCTGCATTACTCCATGGGCAACTATCCAAGAGCTGCATGCCAATATTGGACAGGGTTAGAGGGAAGAAGTGAGCAAATCAACCTGTGGAACTCTTCTTATCGACGATAGACGACTGTATTTTTCGCTCCATAAGTAAGGGGAAATGTGTGTGCGTCTTATGGAGCGAATGCAGGCTGCGCAGCTATCCCTCTTGCTCTCCTGGCTTCAGGGATAGCTGCCCGAAGCCTCCTGAGCACAGCGGGAGCACTCCTGCTGTGCTCTGGAGGCTTCGCGTTGCTTTTGCTGAAGCCAGGAGAGCAAGACGGATCGATCCCTCTTGCTCTCCTGGCTTCGCTTCGCTGGAGAGCCGCTGCACAGCTTTCACTCTCTGCGCAGCGCCCCTTCAGTGAAGCGGGAGGAGAAATGGAGCCCCTTCCATTTCTCCTTCTGCTTTCCTGGAGAGGCACTTCGCAGAGAGGGAGAGAACTTTTTTTTTCTTGTTCTCCTCCTCTAAAACTAGGTGCGCCTTATGGTCGGGTGGGTCTTATAGAGCGAAAAATACGGTATATTTCAGCCACAGAAAGGTCAGAGGTCCCGCTTAGGGAATGCCAATTTAGGGAGTGAAACTTAATGTTTGCAAATTTCTTCAATGAAAGGTCTTTAAAATGTGGCTTTTCTGAGGTGTGAGGAATTCAAATCTGCCATTATTTTTGTGCCAGGTTTAGGAGTCCCTCCCTCCTCGTTGATGTCCCCATGGCCCATGTATTTGCCCTCTCCCTCCAGGCCCCATTGCAGAGGGGCTGCCCAGGAGTTGAGGCCAAGTCACAAGGGGGATATCTAGTCCCTCTCTCTTAGCATGCTTAGGAAGGGCATGTAAACATAGAATGGCACCTAGGAGGCCCTGGAGGGGGTCAAGAGTGCCCTCTTTGCAGGGTTATAGACCCCAGAAGGTGCCTGAAGAGTCCAGCCACCAGCACCGGACCCCAAAGAGCTGATCCATGGAATTTTAAAAATCTGAGAAGACCAATGCCTCTTTCAGCCCCTGCAGTACCAGAATTTGGCCTTACCTGGTTGTGCGTAGGCCAAGCTATTCACATCCCAGCCTGTACGGGGGGGGGGGGGGAGAGAGAGAGAGAGAGAGAGAAGAAATCCCACATGGTTAAATCATAATGGCCAAGAATCCCCATGCCTTACTTTAAGAAATATTTCATTACTTCAATAAGTACAGTGGTGCCTCGCAAGACGAAAAGAATCCATTCCGCGATTCTCTTCGTCTAGCGGTTTTTTCGTCTTGCGAAGCAACCCCATTAGCGGCTAAGCGGATTAGCATTATTAGCGGTTTAGCGGCTTAGCGGCTATTAAAGGATTAGCGGCTAAGCTGCTAAAAGGCTATTAACGGCTTAGCGGCTTAGAAAAAGGGGGGGAAAGCAGAAAAAAATGGCAAGACTCGCAAGACATTTTCGTCTTGTGAAGCAAGCCCATAGGGAAATTTGTCTTGCGAAGCGCCTCCGAAACGGAAAACCCTTTCGTCTAGCGGGTTTTCCGTCTTGCGAGGCATTCGTCTTGCGGGGCACCACTGTAATAATACTGTGTGTGTATGGCAGGCTCCTGGTAAACAGTTTGTGATTTTCCAATATTAGAATCAGAGAATTGCAGAGTTGGAAGGGACCCCAAGGGTCATCTAGTCCAACCCCCTGCAATGCAGGAATCTCAGCTAAAGCATCTATGACTGGTGGCCATCCAACCTCTGCTTAAAAACCTCCAAGGAAGGAGAGTCCACTACCTCTCATGGGAGTCCGTTCCACTGCTGAACAGCTCTTACTGTAGGAAAGTTCTTCTTGGTATTTAATTGGAATCTCCTTTCTTGAAGCCTTGGGTTCAGGTCCTGACCTCCAGAGCGGTAGAAAACAAGCTTGCTCCATCCTCAGATATTTGAAGACTCCAACTGTGAGTGTCTGGAGGTGGTTGGTGGATGGATGGCAGCTAATGGATTGAGGTTGAATCCTGAGAAGACAGAATTACTGTTTTTGGGGGACAGGGGGCGGGCTGGTGTGGAGGACTCCCTGGTCCTGAATGGGGTAACTGTGCCCCTGAAGGACCAGGTGCGCAGCCTGGGAGTCATTTTGGACTCACAGCTGCCCATGGAGGCACAGATCAATTCTGTGTCCAGGGCAGCTGTGTCCCAGCTCCATCTGGTACGGAGGCTGAGACCGTATCTGTCTGCGGACTGTCTTGCCAGAGTGGTGCATGCTGTAGTTATCTCCTGCTTGGACTACCGCAATGCGCTCTAAGTGGGGCTACCTTTGATGGTGACTCAGAAACTGCAATTAATCCAGAATGCGACAGCCAGACTGGGGACTGGGAGTGGCCGCTGAGACCACGTAACACCGGTCCTGAAAGACCTACATTGGCTCCCAGTACATTTCCGAGCACAATTCAAAGTGTTGGGACTGACCTTTAAAGGCCTAAACGGCATCGGCCCAGTAGACCTGAAGGAGCGTCTTTACCCTCATCATTCTGCCTGGACACTGAGGTCCAGCACCGAGGGCTTTCTGGTGGTTCCCTCCCTGCGAGAAGCGAGGTTACAGGGAACCAGGAATAGGACCTTCTTGGTAGTGGCACCCACCCTGTGGAACGCCCGCCTAGCAGATGTCAGGCAATAAACAACTATTTTACTTTTAAAAGACAACTGAAGGCTGCCCTGTTTAGGGAAGTCTTTAATGTCTGATGCTGTATTGCTTTAAATATTTGGTTGGAAGCTGCCCAGAGTGGCTGGGGAAACCCAGCCAGATGGGCGGCGTATAAATAATAAATTATTATATATTATTATAACTCCCATCAGCCCCAACGGTCAAGGATGATGGAAGGCGTAGTCTAATGATGTGTGCAGGGCTACAGATGATGGATGCAGCCATTGCCTACCCCCCAAATTCACACCTGGATTGTGCTCTCTGGATGTGAACATGTAACGGGAGACAGATGAGGTGTCGGTGGCATATGGAATAGGCCCGGCTTTCATCATGAGAGACTTTAAAGGAATGCCCAGTGCAATCCCATTGAAACTGCATTGCACCGCACAAGATGCTAATGATGAACATATTTCTTTGTTGTGCTTAATTCGGCCGCTAGATGGCCCTGTGGACTTTTCAGATTTTCTGACGATACGTTTTGTGTTGCAGGGAGCTGGTAAATAGCCAGTGTTTGGTCCGGACCTCAAGCTGCCCTGAATTCCCAACCCCACACAGTATTCTTCCACTCGAAGTAGATTCAGATCCTCATTCATTTTCACCTCCAAATCATGATTAATTTCAAAAAAACTTTGTTGGCTCAGCCATAAGGCGGCGGTTCTTACATGCTGCTCCAAAAGCACTCGGTTTTATTTGCTTCTCCTTAGTGAAAATATTAGCAACGGTGGGTCACCTTTCCTGCAGACAGCTTGCCTCCATACTGCAACTTCTCCAGCAACATGCATCGAAAGCAGTGGATGTTTTTGCCTTGTTTGCAAGTCTGGATAGGATACCAAACGATGGAGACCACCAGGCAATGAGCAGCATTCCATTTCAATTGTCCACATTCTCCAGAACAGAGATAGGGAAACTTCAAGCACAGAGGCCAAATGTATCCCCTTCAAGCGTCCCAATTTTCCAGAGACAGTCCCGGAATTACAGAAGCCATCAAGGTTTCTGATTTGATCCCGGAACATCCGGCTTTTCCTCTCCACGTTTCGCTGAACAATTGAAAATGTGTGTGTGTGTGTTGTGTGTGTAGGTGCAAAAATGGAGTCCTGTTTCTCCTTAAAAATAAATATCTGCACCAACTGGAAGAAACAGTGAAGCTGCAATATGAAGCCCTTCCATAGCTGTCAATTTTTCCCTTTTCTTGCGAGGAATCCTATTCGGAATAAGGGAATTTCCCTCAAAAAAAAAAAAGGGGGGGGAAATGTTGACAGCTATGAGCCCTTCCTATAATTTTGAAGGGAAATATTTATTCCTTTACAATGGTACCTTGGTTGTTGAACACCTTGGTACTCGCACGTTTTGGCTCCTAAATGCCGCAAACCCGGAAGTGAGTGTTCTGGTTTGCAAACGTTCTTTGGAACCTGAACGTCTGACGTGGCTTCCAACTGACTGCAAGAAGGTCCTGCAGCCAATCGGAAGCCGTGCCTTGGCTTCCGAACATTTTCGGAAATCAAACAGACTTCCGGAACCGATTCCATTCGAGAACCAAGGTATGACTGTATAGTAAATAGAGCCTTACACTGAAAGCCTTTACATTAAGTCCCCACTCAGAATTAAGTCCCACTGTATTCAATGGAGCTTACTCCCAGGTAACTGGGTAAAGACTGTACAGCTTTAAACTGCAATCCAACTTAATTTTTCCTCAGAACTAAATCCCATTGAGTTCAATAGAATTTACTCTATGGTATGTTCCTGATCATTGTCACAGTTTCCATTATTATTATTATTATTATTATTATTATTATTATTATTATTATTATTATTATTATCGGCCTTTTCCCCTGATGGAGACTCAAAGGGAGCTTACAGCTAAAATTCCATTTCATTCCATTTACCTGTTGAAGGTGTGGTACACAATCCTTTCCCTAGCACATTTTTATTTATTTATAACCGTTATAAATAAATAACTCAGCAAGACTGTAGCTCGACGGCAGAGGTTCAGTCCCCGGCACCACTACATAGGAGATGGAATATGGCTTCCTTCCTAAAACCCTGTTGAGTGGAGAGATAGGTGGACCAAATCTCTCGGTTTAAGGCTGCTGCCTATGTTCTCTTCAGTGTGTGGTAGGCAGGAGCAGAGCAAGGTGGGTGCGGACCACCCCGGTGTCATCTCTGAGGGGGGTGGCATTCGGCACACTGCACGCCCATGACTCCCACCTACTGTGAGCCGGGAAGGGGGGTTAGTTTCACCGCTTTTTGCCACTTCATTTTGACAGCCGCACAATCCTGGGCTGCTGGAGGAGTCATGCAAAACAACGACAACAAACCTATGGTTACGTGAAACATACTCAATGAACACACAAGACATAACCGGCTGTACTTTTGAATAAATAAGGTATGCTATTCATTGTATCAAATTGTAGATTACAATGGAAGTCTCATAAAGTTCAACGGAAAAAGCAGAAGACCCAGTGGATCAGTTCATTCTCTAGTAAGTTCATGCATAAGGTCCGTACATGTAAAAGTATCTATTCCACCTGTCTGTTCGAAGAGTCCAATAATCCATATGAAGTCTTCATCTGTAGCCTGCTATAAGATCCACTATCTTGTAATATTACATAGGAGCCTATTCTACAGGTGAAGCCTAGGATGGTGAAGCAAGGCTAATATTCTGAAAATCCTTGTCTTAGACTCTGTGTAAGGATTCTGTGGAAATGTAACAGCCCTTCATTTGGAATGAACTGATCCACTAGGTCTTCTGCTTTTTTCGTTGAACTTTATGAGACTTCTGTTGTCATCTACAATTTGATACAATGAATTGTTGTTGTTTAGTCGTTTAGTCGTGTCCGACTCTTCATGACCCCATGGACCAGAGCACGCCAGGCACTCCTGTCTTCTACTGCCTCCCACACTCAAACTCAAGCTGGTAGCTTCGAGAACACTGTCCAGCCATCTTGCCTCTGTCGTCCCCTTCTCCTTGTGCCCTCCATCTTTCCCAACATCAGGGTCTTTTCCAGGGAGTCTTCTCTTCTCATGAGGTGGCCAAAGTATTGGAGCCTCAGCTTCAGGATCTGTCCTTCCAGTGAGCACTCAGGGCTGATTTCCTTCAGAATGGAGAGGTTTGATCTTCTTGCAGTCCATGGGGCTCTCAAGAGTCTCCTCCAGCACCAGAATTCAAAAGCATCAATTCTTTGGCGATCAGCCTTCTTTATGGTCCAGTTCTCACTTCCATACATCACTACTGGGAAAACCATAGCTTTAACTATGCGGACCTTTGTTGGCAAGGTGATGTCTCTGCTTTGATACAATGAATAGTATACCTTATTTATTCAAAAGTACAGCCGGTTACGTCTTGTGTGTTTATGGAGGAGTCATGCAGGCTGGAAGGCAGGCAGGGAGGGGACGGGAAGGAGGCAGGCGAGCAA